ATGTAGTTACCTTAGAATGCAGCAAAGCATCTCCTGTACATCGACAGATAGTACCACATAAATGTGAGATGGATACGTTCCACTAAATTTCTTCTCTTCTTTATCTGCTGCTAACGTAGACTTTTCTCATTAATTTTCTGGAACTTCTATTTTATTAATTAAAAATAGAACTCAACTTATTCCCCATATTCGACGACTTAGAGAAGACTATTTATTTGACTACATGCTCACAGGGATTGCAATTCGCGCAGATTTTTTATTTTTAATTCTTCTCACTCTTTTTATTTATACAAAAACGAAGTTCAAGTAACTCCATATTCCTTTTCCTTTGGCGTCAGTTCCCTAAACAACTAAACGCGAGAGATTCAAAAGCTCAAGAGTAGGGAGAAAAAAAGAAGTACAATGAACATAGTGATTTTATGATTCAATGTTTTGACATTTCTATCCTTCGAATTAATTTTAACTATTACTTCAATGTCTTATTTACTCAACTTTCTTTTCATCTTGAACGGTGACAATTCTTTGATAGTGGCACTATTAATCTTAAATAATACTACGGTAATTTTGGTCCCCCAAATTAAAATAAGTTCTATTTTTATTAATTTTAACTTTTAAGAGATAATTGCATTTTTTGTCCCTCAGTTATTGGTAAATTTTAATTGTGATCCTTGCATATATGATTAAGCACATATGACCTTCAGTTAACTGTAATTTGCACTTTTGATCCTTATGCTTGAGCATTTTAAGAAAAAATTAATGAATTATTAAAAGTTAAATTTTTTAATTACCCACATGTTATATTAATTTGTATTGTTACTTCATATTTTGAAGATAATTAGTTCCCAAAATAAATAAATAAATATATATATATATATATATATATATATACACACATACACACACATACATACATATATACATACATACTTACTTACTTACTTACTTACTTACTTACTTACTTACATGCACACATAATTATAAAGGGAACAAAACCATACATTTGAATTAACTAAGGGCCGATTAGAGAGGAGTTATTCATGTATTAAAACTAGGATAACTTTATACATTGTTTAGTTAAAAGAAGGGGGGAAAATAATCTCCACATAGAAGCTAGCATAAGTTATACATTGTTTGGTTGTTTTTTCATCTATTTCACATAAAATGTAGCATTGCTAATACAATGTTTGGTTCATGTTTTTCTTTTCCGCATAACTAATACATGTATAAGTTATGAGGGAATCTATGTATTATTTATGCAGGGTAGAAGGTAGAATAACTTATACATGTATTAGTAATGCTTGTATTAAAACACAAAATGACAAGAATACCCTTTATTCAAACTTGTATTTTTTTGTTTAAAAATATATATTTAAACTATACTAAAATCTTTAATAAAATAAAGTAAGCTAATAATAAATAACACTCACATTACATTTATATTACTAATCCTTATAAAACTACCACATAACTAATCTTCGCATAACTAATCCATGCATAACTAATCCCAACATAACTCAACCTTGCATAATTTATCCATGCATAACTAATACATGCATGCATAACTAATCCCTACATTACTTATTCCTGCATAACTAATACATACATAATTAACATCTGCATAACTAATACATGTATAACTAATACCTGCATAACTCTAACCGACAACCAAATGACCCCTAAAGGGATAATACATAAGTTGCACCCTGAATTTATCCCCAAAAGTCAATTTCCAATTCAACCTTTACGGGTGTTCCTTTTCCATCCTATACTTGTCCAAAATGAATTTAATACCTCACTGAGACATATACAACCAGTCGCTGAATTTAATACCTCACTGAGACATATACAACCAGTCGCATGGTGGAATGTGTTGCACACTCTCCCTATGTCTTGGCCACGTATTATCCCAACAGATTCAATTTGATTTTATCTTTTCTTTTTTAACAATTTTTTAAATTTTTACTCTTTTTCTTATTTCTCTTTTTTAAATTTGCATCTCCTTCCTTATATTTGTTATGAAAAACTTTTCTCTTGGACTCCCTTCGTACAGTGCAATCCTTCACCCCAATTGTAAAATTTAGATTTAGATAAATTAGTTTTCAAGTTAATTGAGATTTTTGACATTGTAATATGATGAGCTAAAAATACAATACAAAATTATGCTCGCTAGTCGAATATAGTATAGAAAATATCGTATCCACAGGGATTGGATTTAAACAGTATTTTCGTAGCTTCTAGTTTTAATTGCTATCCAAGATGATCAACAATTTAGAGTTGTGTGATTTAAAACTAAAATTCTAAACTATTGGCTAATGACAATCGCAACAAGAGTAAGCAAAAAGATATCAAAAGGAAAAAATAGGGGTTTATTAGATATGTGTAAGATACTTGTTTGGGAATTAACTCTAGTTACTTCACTTCTATGGTTCAAATGAGTCTCTCGAATTCACTCTATTATGTTCAAACATTCAGTAGAAACTCCTCTCTCGATTAAGTCTCAACCTTACGATATGAACTAAGTTAAGCTTGGTAAAGATATGCAAGAATTCATAGTGGATTGATCCTTAGGAGAATCTCTTTCGATTATCCTCCTAACTAGGTCTAAACATTAATTCAACTAACCTCTTTCGATTACTAACAAGAATCAATGAATTCAACCAATAAGATAATATAAAACATCACAAATTATGCCTTTTTCGATTACATAAACAAGTGAATATATATGCAACAATAAAAACATCCAAAACGCTTCAATACATAAAACTAGAATTAATATCCACAAATAATTCTCAAAACACCAAATGCATCAATCCCTAAAGAAGAATTACTCCATGGATATGGAGAAATCCATCACAATTAAGTTTAAGTAAAAAAAAAACATAAAACATCCAAACCCTTGTCTTGAGTGAGGATAAATGGTGAAATCCGTGTGCTCTTGCTTCTCCCTCTTCTCTTTGGCTTTCTTAGGTCTAAATTATGTCAAAAGTCCTCAAAATACCATTTTTTCATGTATATATACCAAGTAGGGTCGGGCCCAAATAAATACACCTTCTCCTACGCGAAATAGAACACTTTTTCGGAGTTGAACGCGCGCGACCGCACACCTGGAAGTGTGCTCGCGCACTTGGCCACTCACTTTTCACCATGTTCTGCCTCATATGTGCTCCCAATGCGCGCCCAGTATGCGGCCGCGCATGTGGGTGGCGTTTGTTAGTAATTTGGGAAAATATAAAATATGAAAGTTGTAACCCTTTTAAATAACTTTCCAACGATATATTGTGGAGCCCAAATGGAGTTCCGAGCGAAACGTTATGTGTATTTTCCTGGACACTGCGCAATATGCCTGCTCGATTTTTCGTTTTATTCCACTATCATCCGTTGATCCCCGAACATGATCCCGACTTAATCCTTGGACTTTTACTCAGACTTCAAAACTCCCGACTAGCTTGAATTCATTCCATAACATCTACATAGATCGAAATCACTCCTACAAGTTATAAAATATACAATTAGTGCAAAACACTAGCGATTAAAGCCCCAACTCAATTAAAGTGCAGTAAATTATAGTATGATAAGCGACTAAAATATGAGATTATAGCCTACAATCATAATACCAACAGAAAAGGGGTTGAGAAGAGAGATATTTCTATGGTTGGAGGTTGACCGGAGAAAATGGAAGCTCAGCGACACCGGAAGAAATTTTTCGGCTAACATTTGGTGGGATTTTATAGTTTGATTGAGTTTTTCCATGTTAATGCATTTTTATGGATTTTCAATAGTCAAAGGTGAGAATACGGTTGATGATTTTTACAACATCTGGTTAATTTTCCATCTTAATTTTCTGCAGGGAAAAGGAAGGGGGATAGGCAGCAATGGAGGTTTTGCTAATGGAAAAATAAAAGGAGAGAGGAAAAGCTGGAGAAAGAAAAGGAAAAAGAAAAGTAAAAGAAAAGAGGGCCACGTTTAATTGAGTGTAAGGACATAATGTTCAATAAATACTTGACACATGTACAATTTAATGAGTTTGTAATATTTCTTTGGCTCTTCACTCGCATTTAATAAGATTTTTTTTCTTTGCCATGTCATCTTTCAGGGAGGTATTAAATTCATTTCGGACAAGTATATGACAGAAAAGGAACATCCGTAAAGATTGAATTGGAAACTAACTTTTGGGGACAAGTTTAGGGTGCAACTTATGTATTATCCCTTAACTAAATGTTAAATATACTTACGCAAATACCATAACAACTAAAATCAGAATTCAGCAATAAATGGGGACTAAAAATGCTATTATATCCATAGTTTTAAATTGAAATAAAGATATATTAGAACATTGGAAAGGTAAAATAACGATCTTAATCAATTAAATTTAGAAATAACGTCTTAATATATAATCAGATACAGACGAGATCTAAAGCTATGGGGAACGGAAGAATCAAGGTGAGAGGAATAGTCCTCTCCGATAAGGAATGTCTTAATTGTTTGTTTCTGCGTTGCAGATAGAATGAAATGAGTCTTCGTTGACTTTGACATTGTCAAAGTTACTACTCCTATTATTATTAGTAGTAGTAGTAGCAGCTGCAGTAGTACTGTCAATGTGTAGAAATTTTAATCTAGGCCCGTCTCTCTAGTACTTTGGCAAAAAAAATTTTTTTTTTTTAAAAAAAACAAGTACTACTCCCATTGTACCAATTTATGTAAATGTATTTAACCCGGCATCAAGTTTCAAGGAATTTTTTTTTTAAAATTTGTGGTCTAAAATAAATTATAAATATTTTTATGGTTATAAATCATTTCACTTGTTGAAAAGATTAAAAAGTTTAAAATTAAATTATTAGATGTTATTCATTTTGGCCGAAAAATGTGTCAGGATGAAGGTTGTAACTATTAGCAGTTGATTAGTAATTATTTAAGTCTTTCTACTTCTTATTTTTTACGAAAGTCTGTCTACTTAGTTCTATATATGGAAAGCTTTACTAAAACATTCTGTAACATATCCTCTAAAACCATGAAGCATAGGCAAGTTGCTCTGCATTTTTCTTTTTGTATCTATGTGCTAATCTTGACATTAGCCACCGCCGATACCGCCGATACCACCTCTAACACCACCACTCCAAGTACCACCATAACCAAAGGTGCTAATATCACGAAACGGCCAGGATGCCCAAAACAATGTGGAAACCTTACAGTTCCATACCCATTTGGGATTGGCTTAGGATCTGGTTGTGGCTTGGACCCCGGATTTGAGATCGACTGCAACACTTCAACTGGTTCTCCAAAACCCCTCATAGGGAACATTAATGTCTACGAAATATCCGACGCTGAAATGCGCATATCAAGTACTGTAGCTCGGAGGTGTTACTCACGCGAAGGACTACTACTCCCATGATCTTGCATGGATTGATGACAATTTTGAATGGAAATTTCACCCTATAAAAGAAGGCCTAATGTTTAGGATTTAGGTACACCTCTCATTTGTCTTTTTTATCTTCTTAAGGCATTTGTATCTTCTCTCTTTAGTATTATTTCACTTGTAATTTTGGAGTGGAATAAAATATTGATTGTGTCCGAGGAAGTAGTCAAAATTGGCCGAACCTCATAAATTCTGGTGTTCTTTTATTGTTGTCTTATTGTCTTGTTTATTATTTAGTGGTTGTCATCTATTTGGGTATAGTAGTTGTGACTCATTCACACTATATACATTTGGCTTCCGCAACAATTTGGATGACTTTAGGAACAATTCCTTACAGTTTCTCAGCCCTTAACAAATTCTTCGTTGTTGGTTGTGATGAAGCTGCTGTAATGATAGGGCTCAACTATGCCAATGGCTGTATCTCTCTCTGTAATAGTTCCAGCGATATTGTTTTTGAAGGAAGATGTATGGGAACTGGTTGCGGTCAAATAGAAATACCAAAGGGATTGAAATACTTTAATGCAACAATCCTAAGCATGGCTAACCACACACAAGTTTGGTCTTTCAATCGATGTGGCTATGCGTTTCTTGGTGAGGCGAGTCGCTTCCAATTTAGGGGCGTTGAGGATCTTACTGATGATGATGTTAAGTTTACACAAAGGATTTTGAATAATGTCCCGATCGTGCTAGATTGGGCCATTGGAAGTCTTACTTGTGTTGAAGCACAGAACCGTACTGATTATGCTTGCCTGGAGAATAGCCAGTGTGTTAATTCCAACACAAGTCTTGGTGGTTATAGGTGCAGTTGTAACTCGGGATATGAAGGCAATCCATACATCAGTCCCGGCTGCCAAGGTAACTTGATTTCTTTATTTTGCTACTAGGATAATATGGCAATGGGTTAGGACAAACAGTATAAGAAAAGTGTGAATTACATTAGGATTTTACTTGAGAATTTATTTCGCAGAAAAAGACAAAGCGCCATAGATTAATATGAAATATTTCTCTGTTTTGCATGTCAGATATTGATGAATGTGCGGATTCAAATGCCAATTCGTGTGAACAAAATTGCATAAACACGCTGGGGAGTTACAATTGTTCCTGTCGTGAAGGATACACCGGTGATGGTAAAAAGAATGGTCATGGCTGTATTGCACTAAACTCAAACTCTGAGTTCCCATGGATCAAGTTTTCTGTTGGTAAGTTTCTCATAAATTGAACTTGTTTCTGCGTCACAAGTTTTTCGGTTTTCATATTAAACCAACTTGAGTTTTCGGAACTAGAATAGTACTCCCTCCGGTCACTTTTAGTTGATATGTATACTAAAAATAGATGTTCACTTTTATTTGACACTTTACGCATATCAAAAGAAGACAACAAATTTTTTCTTGTTTTACCCACAGTATTTATTACCATTTCAAATCATTTTCTCAAATCCAATAAAATCTACATCAATTAATATGGGTAACATGGTAAATTATGCACTTCATTTATTATTCCGTGAGTGAAAAGTCAAAACGTGCCAAAGTGACCGGAGGGAGTATTTCGTTTGTGATACATGCACCATGTATCATATATGTGGAATGGGCTAACTTTGCACCATATATCATGTATGATAAGTCTGATATAATCTTCTATAGCCAGCTAGAAAGTTGAGTAGGATAGCAAGGATTGCATAATTATCCATTATAAACATACTTGAGTGGAATTACATAAAAGTAAGCGCTTATCTAGTGAAATCACTACAGATTTGCATCAACTTTAAGAAAGAATACTGAAAGTACAGCTTATAACTCTATAAGTAGTATGTTTACAAATTACAAGTTGTCAATATGAGCCATAAGAATAGCACTCTTTTCTGTTAGTACAATAAACAGAGGCCCTGTTTACTTACTGTTTATAAAAACACAGAAGTGGTAAATGAGTATATTTTAATGAAGTATAAAGAATTCACATCATATCTCTCTGATTGTGAAGCCCCTTACAAGGATAGTCCGGTGCACTAAACTCCCACTATGGGCGGGGTTCGGGGAAAGGGCCAGATCACAAGGGTTTATCGTACGCAGTCTTACCTTGCATTTCTGCAAGAGGCTGTTTTCACGACTCGAATCCGTGACCTCCTAGTCACATGACAACAACTTTACCAGTTACGCCAAGGTTCCTTCAGGCTCCCCTCCTGATTATGAAGCCCCTCGATCTCTTTAAAATCCAGCTCTTTCTAATACAAATAAGGAGGGGCTCAAGTTTTGTTGTTATAAACACAGGTATGGGAGTTGGCTTTATATCCCTACTGGTTGGGACAATTTTGCTCTATTTCAGTATCAAGAGACGAAAACTCATTAAACTTCGGGAGAAGTTCTTCCAACAAAATGGTGGTTTACTCTTGAAACAACAAATCTCCTCTAAAAAGGGTTGTATGGAAGCAGCCAAAATTTTTACAGCTGAGGATTTGAAGAAGGCGACGAACAACTATGCCAATGATAGAATTCTTGGCCGTGGTGGAAATGGAATTGTCTATAAAGGTATTTTACCTGATAATCGCATAGTTGCAATTAAAAAATCTAAGTTTGTGGACGAGGATCAAATTGAACAGTTCGTCAATGAGGTACTTATTCTTACTCAAGTCAACCACAGAAATGTAGTGAGACACTTTGGCTGCTGTTTGGAAGCTGAAGTGCCTTTACTAGTTTATGAATACGTTTCTCATGGAACTCTTTATGAGCATATCCACAATTCAAATGGAGAGCCATGTATGTCTTTGCAAAATCGACTACGAATAGCTGCAGAGACAGCAAGTTCACTTGCTTACCTTCATTCATCTGCATCGATGCCAGTAATTCATAGAGATGTCAAATCTACTAACTTATTATTGGACGATGTTTACATAGCAAAAGTGGCAGATTTTGGAGCTTCAAGATTAGTACCTCTTGACCAAACACATGTTGCTACATTGGTTCAAGGAACATTAGGGTACTTAGATCCTGAATATTTTCGCACAGGTCAATTGACAGAGAAAAGTGACGTTTATAGTTTCGGAGTAGTTCTTGCAGAACTTTTGACAGGGATATTACCTATTTCGAGGGATAAAAGTAACCAGGACAAAAATTTGGCAGAGTATTTTGTTTTGTCCATGAACAAGAATAGCTTATTTCAAATTCTTGATCGCAGAGTAGTAAAAGAAGGAAATCTTGAGCAACTTCAGAAAATTGCTGAGCTTGTTAAGAGTTGCCTTCACTTGCATGGAGAAGACAGGCCAACTATGAAGGAAGTGGCAATGGAACTTGAGAGTTTAAGAAAGTTCACCGGTCCTTGGGCTAATGGACATGGGCATGAAAAGAATGAAGATGAATTATCAGATCTTTATGCAATTCCAATTGACTCTAACGGAGGTTTCGACAACTTCTCTGGACAATATCCCAACTCCTACATAAATAGCAGCATTTTTTCTGGACAATATAGTTCGGATAGTTCTTCTTTACTATATAATACAAATATCCCTCGGTGATCCTGAACAGAAGGTTAATACGATGATTGATGAAGATTTTCTGCGTTTGTAAGTCCTTTTTGCGTGTCTTTCTTTCATATATCGAATGTTCTGATGTAGTCTATTGGCTTTTGAATTTCTCATCAATTTCTCATTGTATTAGTGATAAGAGCTGGGAGTTAGTAGATGCTCGCTCTAATTCTAAATTGCCCAGACATTTGTATGAAAGTTTTCCTCATTGTATTAGTGATCAAGGCTTGGGCTAGACGGCTAGTGCTAGCAATCCACATCTGATCTAGTCATCCACATATCCGTATGCTAGTTGATGAGGTCTCATTTGGCACCGTTACAGCCGAAAATTTTACTAATATACATATAAATAATATGAATTAGTTGTATGGATAATATAAATTGACACCACTTAGCTAATAGGGATTTCTAGTCCATTGGTCAAGCGCTTGCCTAACAGCAGATCAGGCGTGTGCTTCAAACCTTAGCACTGATACGTGGTTCTTGCAGTACATTGCCGGCTCTTTTGTTAAAAATAATAATAATAATAATAATAATAATATTGTTGTGCATAATAGAACCCCTGACATCCTGTTGGACTGGATACAACTAAATCAATGGGCCAAAAGCCACTAAATCTGAAGTTTGAACTACCAAAATCAAACTTCAGACCTTAGTTAAGCTCTTACAATTCAATCTTAAGTCCTAAAAGCGGCTTTTGTGCAGTGGCCCCAATTTTAAATTAGTCTCAACAACATACCAACAAGCAGAGCAGATGAGATCAGCGCCAGAAGGAGAGGTTAAAAAACAAATATTTGTGGGAAATGAATCGAGATAAGTCTATCTCGATAATTTCTTTAGCTTAAATGACTCACACACATTCTTCTCATGAGCCGACTGCTTGAAATATAATTGTGTTCTAAATATATCAGAGAGAGTGAGATTCTCAATTATGGTAAACATAAAGGATTGAATCTGCTCAGCTGTATGTTCAAATAATTATTTTAGACCAATGACCAGACATAAAGGGCTATTCTTGTCATTTACCGAATAAACTACTTGCTACTATTAAGTAGTCCCTCCGTTTCAAATTAGATGAGGTACTTTCCTTTTTATTCTGTTTCAAAATAAATGAAACATTTCTAAATTTGGAAATAATTCAACTTTAAACTCTTCATTTTACCCATTTTACATTCAATGAGAAGTTTTTATAACCACACAAATGTCATGGTCCCACAAAGCTTTTACCCCTTGAGCTTTTAAGACTACAAGTTTTAAAAGTTTTCATCTTTTTTCTTAAACCCCGTACCGAGTCAAACTACCTCATCTAAATTGAAACGGTGGGAGTATCAAATTATCACCCATTACTTGTAGTCAACAATCTATATTAATTTCTTCTAAATATCTAATTAAGTTTCTATGATTGAGCAACTTGAACAGCCATGGCTATTTTTCTTTTCCTTATTTTTTGCTGTTTAATTCATGGTAATCATCCTCGCGCAACCTGATTTACGGTACGTTTTTGGACTTTGGTATCTACGCTCAAAATAGTGCAATATAGACCAGAGCAATCTTTCAATATTCTGTCATTTTTCTCGAGTACTCAAAAGACAAGATGATCAAGTTAGATGTAAATAGATCTCAGCAAAAATTCACTTGGATGACTTACGATACTACTTTATGCTAATATTTGCACGATATAATGAATGTTGATATTTCTTAATAAGAAATTTTACCTCCTATACGAAACTATTACACCTTATTTATTATAAATCAAAATAATTTTAAAATATTATTATTTATAGCTATCTTTTTTATTTTATAGCAAAATATGTATTTATTTATACCTACCATTGATGCATGAAATACATCAATTATATTCTTTTTCTCTCTATCAGCAAGATTCTCAATCCTCCCCTCGAATCAGCAGAATCGTATCAAAGGCAGTGGTCACACCTCTCAGATCTACGCTATTCGTCAGTCCATTGCTAAAGCTCTAGTTGCTTTTTACCAGAAATAAGTTGATGAGCAGTCGAAGAAGGAAATTAAGGATATTTTGGTGAGGTATGATAGGACTTTGCTTGTTGCTGATCCTAGACGCTGTGAGCCTAAAAAATTTGGAGGTCGGGTGCTCGTGCTAGGTTCCAGAAATCCTACCGTTAGATTGGTTTCAATCTTCAATACTTTCATGGCTCATCCTCTTAGGCGAAAAGATCTGGCAATGGCTACGTCAGAGAAAATTTGAGGGCCGGATTTTTATTCGTCTCCATTTTCTTTTAATACAATGTATACATTATTTTGCTTGGTCGGAAAACGCTATCTCCGGCAAACTTTCTTCTTTTTTTTTGCTATTTAGTCACATATAATGATACAAATACACTCAAATACATTATATTTTCGTATAAATACATTATTTTTTTATTTTTGTATTTATGTATTCCGAAGGTCTATATTTTTTGAATACAGCCGAATATCACTGTGTTTTGTGATTTTTTTATTGTTTGAATACAGTTGAATTGAGTACGGTTAATTGAATACAATGTATAATAGTGAATAATGAATATCTGTGAATTGAATACAATGTATACAGTCAAATTGAATAGAGCGGTATACATCCTATTTCTTGATTTTTTGTTGTTGGAATATAATTGAATTCAACATAGTGAAATTGAATACAATTCAATATTGCGCTTTTCGTTATTAAACACCCGTAATTATTTTTTTAAAGCGGATTACCTCATTGTATTTATAAATACAGTCACGCGAATATATGGAATACAATACAGTAGCAGCGAAATTTATGTAGAGCTGATTTTGTTGAGTTAAATTAGGAGTGATACACGCTAATTGATCCTCTTTCCGTTATTAAACAGCTGGACTCCCCTATTTTTTAGGCGAATTTCGTTACTGTATTCATGAATATAGTAGCGCGAATAGAGCGAATACATTCGCGTAACAACTAAATAGTAGCTATAAGAAGTAATTATGTATGTGGTAGCCATAGGAAGCTAATAGCCACTAAGCAATAGTGGTTTCTGAAAAATACTCTTCTTAATATACTAGTGGAGAGGTTTGCCCGGGCGCAACTTGAATAAAGCTATCTTTTTATTAGGGATTTTTACCTAGTTATACTGTAATAGAAACCTATTTACCACCTTTATTTAGGTTCTTTATTAATTACTTTATATTTATATTTACAAGTTATATACAAAACCATAAAAAAGAAAAACAAATTCAAGATCCCTTAACTTTAGCATGTCAGTTACACGACACCCCTCCCCCCACCCCACATTTAAGATTCTGTTTCTTTTCCAAAGTATGTCAAAAATATTTTCTCTCTTTCTTAATAATCACCCAAAATCTCTCTTTTATTTTTATACCCACCTCCCCAAATTTGTGATTATTTTCCTTTTCCAAAGGTTTCCAATTTCTCTATTTCTTACTAATTGTCCATAATCTCTATTTTTTATTGATACAATGCAGACGGAATTTGAAATATTGCTCTAGAATCAAGCTGTGAGTAAGTTTTTAATCTTGTTTTCTTTTTCTTTTTCTAAAATCTTTATTGTATGTGACTGTATATGATACATCAATACCCAAAACAATACTTGATACAATACTAATACAATTATAATACGATTATATTAGATTTTTAGTGGAGAGTTGTGATTGCAACTTGAAGAAGATGAAGATCATAATTGTATCACAATTTTTCAGAAATGTATCGCGATTGTATTATAATTGTATATGTATCATAATTGTTGAAGGAATTGTATTAGTATATCCATTGTATATTATTACGAGCAGTTGTGAGTCTGTGACGAATTTCATAGTTTGTATCACAAATATATGATAATTGTATATTAATTTATTAGTATTGTATCAGGTATTAAATCTGTTTCTGATACTGATTTGCTTTCTCTAAATTTTTCGCTCACAGTTAGACAAATAAACTAATGGCTGTTGTAGAATACTGATATTGTTTAATTTTAGCAAAAAACTCAACCTAGCGTGAATCTTACAAGCTTTTAGTCAAATTGCATCTATAATCCATCAAATCTCTACGTGAAATGTTTTACTTCTGTGTATGTAGTATGAGAATAAGTGCCGAAACATATTTTTATGTTACTGCCTGTAATGGTTGTCCCTCTTTAGTAGGAGTTGATTTTCAATATAGCTATTGCGTTGCATGTTTATTTATTATAGTATAAAAGGTCTCTTGTAAAGTTATTTTCGCCTACATGATGATTATATCTATATTAGTACTCCTACTTACAGGCAAAATCCACTTATTATTTCTATGATTACTGCACAAGTTGCGTCGTTACCATTAGGTAGACTAATGGCAAAAGTTCTACCGACGAGGAAGTTTCATTTGCCTGGATTTGGTTCGAGGGAATTTTCGCTTAATCCAGGTCCTTTTAGTATGAAAGAACATGTTTTGATTTCTATATTTGCTAATGCTGGTGCTGGATTTGGTGGTGGAACTGCTTATGCTATTAGTATTGTGGATATTATTAAGGTCTTTTATCACAGGAAAATCTCCTTCTTGGCTGGTTGGATCCTTGTCATTACTATCCATTAGGGGTGGCAAGTGGGCTGATCCCGGGCCTAAATGGACCAAGTGGGTCGGTCCCAAATTAAACGGGCTAAACGATTCCGGGTTAAGTGTCTTTTTGTAGGGACCGACCCGTGACCGGGACCGTTTGGTTCCGGGCTAAACGGTTCCGAAACGCGGGCTAAATGGGCTAAGTGGGGTAAGTGTGCCCTACGGATTTTTTTTTAAAAACAAAATTAAATTAGAGACAAAAGGATATTAAAAAAAAATATCTAAGACAATGCTTTGTAAATTTTATTATAGAATTGTGACTTCNATATATATATATATATAGTTTGGGAAAAATAGGGAAAAAGTATAATTATAAAAAGTTTGGGGTTAAAACAAAATTGGAGGGTTAAATGACTATTTTTTGACAGCCCAACGACTATAATTTTAAAAAAAAAATTATTTTTTTTTAAAGATAGCCGTTGGGACCGTTTGGCCCACTAAGGAACCGGTCCGGT